GCCGGGGGCGAGCGGGAGGCGGCCGATCCACGACTCTCTCCCATCGTGATGTTTCTCTCTCCCTCTCCCTTCCTCTCTGTGAAATCAATAAAAACATATTTAAAACTAATAACAATAAGGGGCCAGGATCCAAGATCAGGAGGGACCCCGGGGCAACAACACGCCCTTTGAGCCTGTCGGGGAGGCTGGCGGACATTAACGACCCCAACACCCCCCACCTCTTCTCCGATTTCAACCACAGTTGAGTCTCAGGGCGGAGGCCTCGGGCGCGAAACTGAAGAGAACCCCGACTGTGCGTCGGAACAGGAGCGCATCCCCGCCAGCGGCCTACCGTGAAAACGAGGGATCCCTGCCCCCAAGTCGCACACGGGCCTGCCCGGCCCCCGCGTCCCCTGCGAGAGCAGCAGCCACAGCGATGATATCCGCGACCCTAACACGCATTTCATACCTACTACGTGCCAGACGGCCTACGAGGCAGGCCGAGCCCCGACCGGCACTGCTTTTTTAGGATTTTTTTCCTGCGGTAACTGATTGAATCCCTAGGACGCCTCCCATTTTCCGCAGCGACAGGAAGGGGTTCAATACGTTGCGGGAGGTCGCACAGCCGGACCCAGAGGAGTGTCCAGTTGGGCCAGCAGGCCTGTCCCTTTAACCCTCTGCTACCAGCGGGCACAGGGCGGGCCCAGGGCGGGCACAGGGCGGGCCCCTCCCCGGGAGGTTGTCGTGTGTTTCTCATGCTCCGAGTCGCTGTCATTGGGCCAGCAACACGGTCACGACTGTTACGGGCACCCGCTGAGCACTAGGTGCGTGGTGCAAGTTTGCAGAGGCCCTCGGAACAGGCCCCTGGTCTCCGGATCGGGTGTTTCCTTACAGGCCGTCCGCGGTGCGTGACCTGCGGGCCGCCTGGGTCGCTTTGGGGCAGCTCAGGTATTAGCAGCAATAACACGAGGAAGCTCCAGCTATTTGGAGGCCAATCCGTCGGGAAAATCCTGGTCTCTGGGGGGGAGCGACGGACCGAGGAGGCAGGCGGGGAAAATCTCAGGGGCGGCCGGGGCNGGGCGGGCCCAGGGCGGGCACAGGGCGGGCCCCTCCCCGGGAGGTTGTCGTGTGTTTCTCATGCTCCGAGTCGCTGTCATTGGGCCAGCAACACGGTCACGACTGTTACGGGCACCCGCTGAGCACTAGGTGCGTGGTGCAAGTTTGCAGAGGCCCTCGGAACAGGCCCCTGGTCTCCGGATCGGGTGTTTCCTTACAGGCCGTCCGCGGTGCGTGACCTGCGGGCCGCCTGGGTCGCTTTGGGGCAGCTCAGGTATTAGCAGCAATAACACGAGGAAGCTCCAGCTATTTGGAGGCCAATCCGTCGGGAAAATCCTGGTCTCTGGGGGGGAATGACGGACCGAGGAGGCAGGCGGGGAAAATCTCAGGGGCGGCCGGGGCCGGGAAAATGGGAGATCGGCCCATAGATCTGCTCCCGGGAGCGTCTCCAGAACCAACATTCAAAACCCTGCGGCCCCTGTGCAGGGAGAACCCTGCCGAGCCTGGGTTTGCGGCGGGGACCTCAGCACCAGTCGCGCCCAGGCCGGCCTGGGGGGCGCGGCGAGAGGGGGAGAAACTCTCACCCGGCGTTCGGGACCCGGGGGCCCCAAAGACCCACCCTAAGGCTGGAAATAAAATCTCAGCTCCGCGAGATATTAAAGTCGGGCTTTAAAAATAAAAATAAAAAGAGGGGCCCTGGCCAGTGTGGCTCAGTGGTTTGAGCGTCAGCCTGCAGACTGAAGGGTCCCGGGTGCGATTCCAGCCAAGGGCACGGGCCTCGGGGTGCAGGCTCGATGCCTGGCCCCAGGCGGGGCACGTGCAGAAGGCAACCGACCGATGTGTCTGTCGCACATCAATGTTTCTCCCTCTCTCTCTCTCTCTCTGAAAGCAATGGAACAAATATCCTCAGCTGAGAATAAAAAAATAAATAAAAATAAGAATATGGACGAGTAGGGGCTGTTCTCAGGCCTGCTCAGGAAATACTGGCCTAACCGTTTACGCCCCGACATTCTCATTATGATCCTGGCCGAGGACGCCGGGCTTTGTGTCCTCCCCTTTCCTGTGGTTCCCCCCCCATTTTTTTTTAAATTTGCTGACGGCTCTGCCTTCCTATCCTCACGCCGTCGGTCGCCCGGCCGCCCTAGGTGAGGCTCCCCCTTCCCCTGCACCCCGGTTTTCCATCCGCTCGCCCCACGGCCTGTTCCCTGCGGACTCCAGGCCGCGTTTCCAGCTTCTGAGCACAGGCTCCCCGGAGGCCCACGGGTTTGCTTTCACCTCCGTCTCGCTTCCTTTCTGCATTTCCTACCTTCTTCCCCGTGCCTGTCGCCCCCGGATGTGTCCCCCCCGCCGTTCCAGGCGTGGACACCGCGTTCGAGCCCCTCCTGCGTGTCCCCGTGGCCGGTCCCCTGGCTGCGCCCTGGCTCCCGGCTCTCGGTCCCTCTGGATTCGCATCCTGCATCCCGGCTCTTTGCCAAACCGGACGCTTGAGTCGGGCATCCCCTGTCCCTTCCCATCCGCACGATCCCCCCGCTCGACCGTCCACATTTATTCTTCCTGAGTGAGCCCCCAGCCCGCTCGGGGTCGAAGGATCTTGCTTCCCCCCCTTTCTCTGGCCACCTGCCCCCAGTGTGGCGCGGGGGCCACCTCGACCCACCATCTCCACCCTCCTATCGGCGCCGGATTTCGAGCCACTAGATCTGCGTTCAGTCCTGAGCTGTTTCGCACCCGCCCGGCCAGGCCTCTCCACGTCGCTGAGCCCGTTTCCACGGCTGTGGAATGGCCTCGGTGCCCTGAGCCCCATCTGTCCCACGGGGTTAGGGGGAGCCTGCGGGGCCGCGTTTGCCAAGCTCTTCTGGGATGCCGGGTGGGGGTGTCACCTCAGCCTTTATCCCTCAGTTTTCTCGTCTTTAAAATGGGAATGATTCAGCCCTGGCCGGGTGGCTCAGTCGCTTGGAGGGTCGTCCTGATGCGCCAGGGTTGCGGGTTCGTCCCCAGTCAGGGCACATACAAGAATCAACCGATGATGCGTCAGTAAGTGGAGCCACACATCAACGGGTGTCTCTCTCTCTCTCTCAAATCAATAAATTTTAAAAAGTTAAAATGGACATGACAGCAGGCCTGCCCCCTGCGGAAGGAGGTTGTGACGATTCGGGACAGTCCGAGGGGCCCAGGCGGAGCCGCCCCCCGTTGCCCGCTGTGACCTGCCTTCCTGCCCCTGCCTCCTGTTCCCTCCCGGGTTCCCCCGCCCTGTCTCCTCCTGTCATCCCCCTCGCCTGTCACCCACGGGCAGCCAGGGCCCCCCGCCCACCCAGGAGCATCTCGGGGGAAAAGTTCAGACTTTGAAGCCCCCACCCCTCCCTCCGCATTCCTCGCTGCCGCCCTGATTAGAGAGGACCGGGGCCTGGCGGGATAAGTCACTGATATATTAATTTGTGTTTTTATCTCGGCACTGGCCCGCTTTCGGGGGCCCCTGCCTCGGGGGGAGGTTTGTGTTAAGAGCCCAAAGCCCAGACACCTGGCTTTTGTTTTCCCAAAGCCCCGGCTCTGGGAGGAGGTAAAGCTGCCAGGAGGAGAGAGAGGGGGAGGCCGGAGGGAGGAGGAGGGGGGGCGGCGAAGGCCAGGGGATCAGGCCACTTGCACAGCGCTGGCCTCCATCCATGCCACCCCTCGAAATGGGGCCAGGCCACCAAAGAGAGGCCTTCAGGGCACATCTCGATCACTAGGCCCCGTCACCGGGCTCAGCTCACATCTCTCCGTGGTTCCCGGCACCCAGCGCCCCGTTGTGATGCTCCTGCAGGCACCCCGAGGACGCAGGGCCGGAGTAACAACCAACCCCGACACCAGCGTCTGCTGCCCGCGGAGACCATGCCCAGCACTGGCCCTGGGTCTTTTCAAGGATGAGAACCGTTGCTCCCCGAGACGACCCTCTGTCCCTGGGTCCCCATGTAGGGCACAGAGAAGTCAAGCAACTCGTCCACGGTCACAGAGCGAGGACATGGTGAGGGAGGCCAGGGCTCCAGTAGAAGCGGAAATATTAAAAGGGGGCCACCAGTCCATCGTAAAATGTCGAGAACGATGAGCTGTGTCGGCCGAAACGAACGCAGCACTGAGCCTGGCAATGCGAGGTGCTCCGAGTGCCCTCCGACGGGGACGGTGGCAGGGCCTGGGCCCCTCGGCCTGCGTCTTTCTCAGCAAGGAGCCTCTGTGCCCACGTCGCCAGCCCTGCGGCCCCGCTGAACTGTAGTTTGATGATGGAAATACTGTCTTTATTCCGATAAAGCAGAGACAGGCATGCTCANTGTGCCCACGTCGCCAGCCCTGCGGCCCCGCTGAACTGTAGTTTGATGATAGAAATACTGTCTTTATTCTGATAAAGCAGAGACAGGCATGCTCAGAATAAATAAATATAAATATAAATATAAATATAAATATAAATATAAATATAAATAAATATAAATATACACATACATATACATATACATATAAGTATAAAATATAAATATAAATAATATAAATATAAATAACATAAATATAATAAATAATATAAACATTAATATTAATATAAATATAAAATATAAATATAAAAATATAAATATAATATTATAAATAATATAAATATAAATAATATAAATGTAAATATATAATATAAATAATATAAATGTAAATGTAAATATAAATAATATAAATATAAATATATATAAATACAGACAGGGCGGACTCCTGTGCTCCCAGTTCCTAACCGACTCTGCCCGTTTTGCCATCTGTAAAATCAAGATACAAAGACATGAACTAGCGTAGCAGCTGGACTCACCGAGTGGTGGTTCGATTATTAGGAATTACTATCAGTCTTTCTTTATCGATTGATTTGAGAGAGAGAAACGCTGGCTCGAGGCTCCCCTCACTGACGCCGTCATTGGCTGAGTCTTGCATGTGCCCTGAGCAGGGATCGAACCCGCAACCTTGGTGTCTAGAGACGACCCTCTAACGGACCGAGCTCCCGGCCAGGGCCGCTGTGGTGACTGTCGCGTTGGCCGGTGTGTCCACTTGGCGTCTTAATCTCCTTTAGTAAGCGCTTGGCTTCCTTTCCAACTTCTTCAAGGTCCCCTTTGCGTTGCCTGCTGTTATTTTACTTCGTGCGGGAGCTGGTTGCTTTCGGGTAGCCAGAAAATATGAAAAAAAAAACAAACCACTGTGCCTATGAAATGAAAAAAAAAGAGAGAGAGAGGTTGACATTCGCAGCCGGGAGGGAGGCACTGAATTGCAAAGGTCACCAATGAGTAAACAGACACTAATGGTTAGCCGGGCACCTGGTACATAAGCAGGTCACATTAATAATTAACCGCGGGGGAAACTTAGCGCTCGCAACCGAGCTCAGGAAAGGAGGTGCCGGGGAACCCCCCCCCCCCAGAGGTTGAGAAAAACCCAATAGTGATTGTCCAGATTCTTAGAGACGGAGGAGTCGCTGTCCCGTTTCCACGTGGCGCAGAGTTGCGCCCGAAACCAGCTGGGGACCGTCGTGGGCCTGTTGCTTTTAGAGAGACTTTGTTTCTCTTTGGAGCAGTTTTCGGTTCAAAGGGAAATGGGAAGGAAGGTCCAGGGGTTTCCACGGACCTTCTGCCCGACGCAGGGCTCCCCCATGTCATCATCCCCCCCCACCAGAGGGGCGCAGTCCTCACAGCCGACGACCCGCGTGGGCCCAAGATCACCACCCACGTCCGTGGCGTCCACCAGGCGAGGCCTGGTCTTTGGGTCGGGACAAGGGTCCAAGGACCTGTGTCCACCATTCCGGTGTCACGCAGGGTGTCCCCCCGTGCATCCCGACCCCTGGCCACCACCGACCACCCCGCTTTGTGTTGGGAAAAGCCGGAGCGGAGCTGGGGTGACCAAGGCAAAGGCCGGGGCCAGGCAGGAGCTGTGGGGAGCGAGACGCCCGCCTGTCCCCACCGAGACCTTGGGCCGCGGAGAATGAAGCGACTGCGTCCCACAGGGTGTCCCGAGCGTCGGACACTTCGGCTCTGTGCAGGAGCCGGGTTTTAGGTGACGTGTCCCCTCGGCGGGGACCTTGACCATTGACAGCGGGTTGGAACCGCGCTCGGGCCAGACGACGGGCATCCGCTGCCACCAGTTGAAATCTTTGGTCTAAATGAAAAAAAAAAACAAAGAAAAATCCCTGAAAATGCACCGAGGGGCTCCGAGTGTGTCTTTAAAATACGTTCGTCTCGCCTCCTTTGAATACATAGTTCTCTGTAGGAATGTTATAAAGGAAGCAAATTAATAAAATGGCCAATAGACTTAATAGGAGGCTGGAGTGTCCGTAAGGACCTCAGCTTATTCTCGCAGGAATGTCAATAAAAGTCAGATACTTCTGTATCTCGGGGCCCAGCGTCTCACAGACGAGCAGGGAGCTCCGCTTTCGGCCGTAATAGCAGGAAAACAATTTTTAAATAAACGTGTCGCTGGGCTCTCAGGCCCACGGGAGACGTCGTGACGAAGCCAACCTGAAAATCAAATTATCTAAGGTTGGTTATGCCAGTAACGGCCTCTGCCCGACGGCCGGGGGCGGGAAAGCCAGGCTCAGGGCAGCGAGAGCGGTGGGCCTGGGGGGGCGGCAAGGGGCTGGGGCCCGGGCTCAGGGAGGGGCAGACGGGAGCCCCACAAAGCACACGGGGGGCAGGCTCCTTCCTGGCCCTGCTGCGGAGACATGAGTATGGGACTAACGCCTCCTAGACTGGTCCCCGTCCGTGTCCGTGGCCACGTCCCCAAACCGTGATTAAAACAGTAAGTCCTGGGAGCCCCGGCCGGTTGGCTCAGTGGTTAGAGCCTTGGCCTGTGGACCGAGGGCANGTATGGGACTAACGCCTCCTAGACTGGTCCCCGTCCGTGTCCGTGGCCACATCCCCAAACCATGATTAAAACAGTAAGTCCTGGGAGCCCCGGCCGGTTTGCTCAGTGGTTAGAGCCTCCGCCTGTGGACCGAGGGCACCGGGTTCGATCCCGGGCCCTGCGGGAGGCAACCCATCGACGTGTCTCTCGTTCGATGTTTCTCTCTCTCCCCCCCCAGCTCCCTCTCTAGAAATCAATGGAAAAAATACCCTCAGGAAGGGGAAAGACAGAGAGAGAGAGACAGAGAAAGTCCTAAGCAGAGGCGTTTGCTCTTTTAAAAATGAAATAAAATAATTAAATTAAATTAAATTAAATTAAATTAAATTAAAATAAAATAAAATAAAATAAAAAATAAAAAATAAATTAAAAATAATAAAAAATAAAATAAAAAAATTAAAATAAAATAAAATAAAATCAGCCCTCAGCGCAAGCCGCCCCCAGGCCTTTCTAAAGCGCCCCAAATTCCAAATGGCCCCGTTACTAATGATCCTCAAGGCACAAGGTGGTCATTGAAGCATAAATCTCGCCAGGCCAAGCAAAGGGCCTTCGGTAAAGAGTTGAAATCAAGGGGGGCGGGAGGTGGAGGCATCTGGTTCCCATTAACATGATAAAATAGTTCAGTGGGAACCTTTTACAAGAGGCTCCGTGCGCGGGAGGTGTCGCCGCGTCCCCTCCATCACCAGCCCTGCGACGCGACATGAAAGGCTTCGGAAAGCCGCGTTAGGCCTCTTAATCAAAAACTAATTGTCAGAGATATCGGGGGTGTTAACACGGGGACCGCGAGGTCGCAGCGGCCGTGTGGACGCGGCAGCGAACATGAAACACAACCCCGGGCTGATAGGGCTTATCTGCGCCCCGGGGCTCAGGGCCCAGCGCCGGGGGCCCCTATCTCCTGGCCGGTCGCTTTGTACCACTTGGGAGTTAATTGCCCCCGTAGGGGCTTCATCTTCTTAATGCAATTTATGGCCTTGTCAGGGAGCCGGGGAGATACGGCCGCAATTTAGGGGATTTTTACAGAAAACAGAGACATAAACAGAAAGGATACAAGAAAATCCACGCTTGGGGCCCTAATGCATCAGCGGCCTTCACACCAGGGGGCAGGGGGAGGCCTGGGAGCCCCGTAACCCTTTCAGGCCTGTAACGGAAAGGGGGTCGTGGGCATCCGAGGGCCCGTGGGAGGCATTCGGCAAACACTTCATAATCAGACTTGCAAGACCAGAAAGGCCAGCCTTGGCCGGTGTGGCTCAGTGGTGAGAGCACCGCCTGCGGACTGAAGGGTCCCGGGTTCCGTTCCAGCCTCGGTTGCAGGCTCGCGCGCANTGGCCGGTGTGGCTCATTGGTGAGAGCGCCGCCTGCGGACTGAAGGGTCCCGGGTTCCGTTCCAGCCTCGGTTGCAGGCTCGCGCGCAGGAGGCGACCAGCCCATGTGTCTCTCTCACGATCCAGGTGTTTTTCTCTCTCTCTCTGTCTCTCTCTCCCCACCTTCCACTGTCTCTGAAAAGCAATGGGAAAAATATCCTCGGGTAAGAATTTAAAAATATATTAAAAAAAGACTAGAAATGCCAGTAAGCGAGGGATGGGAGTCCCACGTTACGTGGCCCCGTGCCTACCACAGTGTCTGAGAACTGGCGGAGCCTCGGGAAGGGTTTTCCTGAACGTTTGATGAGTGAATAAATGATCTCGCGGGAGGACCGTGCTGTATGATTTTCAGGCTATTTTCACACTTGGTCCCCACAAGCACCCAAACCATCCGCTTGGTCTGGGCCTAGGGTTTCGTGAAGGGCAGACCCAGGCCTCAAACGGGCTCTGCAGAAGCCCCGTTCCAGTCTCGTTGACTCCAAATGGGCTGGAGAGAGTCTCGGGGGACATCCTGTTATGTCAGTCGGAGGAAAGGGGTTTCGAAAGTTAAAAGACCAAATGTGATTTTTGGATCCCGGATTGGAACAAAAATAAATAAATAAAAGGTTCGAGGAAAAACTGGTGAAATCCGATCAAGTCTAGAATACAGTTAATAGTATTATACTCATTTATGTATGAATTATATACACATTAATACCAAGAATACTTAGCGACTTCCATGTCAGCATCAGGGAAGCCGAGTAAAGCATGTGCTGCCTTGGAATTCTCCTGTAACTCTTAAGACTCTTTCAAAATAAGTTTTTGAAAATAATAACTACTCATTATCAAGATACAAAAACACACTGTAGAACATAAGAACATTCAAAATGGGATGAGAAATCGTATTACCTTGGCCCTTTCGAAAGGGCCCACCCACCCCCTTGGTGCTCCTCCAACCCGCCTAGTATACGCTGTGTTATTTCAATCCTTTTAAATTTATTGAGAGTTGTTGTTTTTCTATAACCTGGTCTTTCCAGGAGATTGTTCCACGTGCACTTGAGATAAGTTTGTATTCTGCAGTTGTTGGGTAGAATGTTCTACAGGTATCTGTTACATCTACTTGGTTTAAATTATTGGGGTTTTCTGTCTCCTTGATGATCTGTCTGGTTGTTCTGTCCCAATTTTGCCTTTGATTAAAGTGGTTAGTCCATTCACATCAAGTAATTACTGATAAGGTAAAATATCTGCCATTTCCCCACTGTTTACCCATAACCACCTTCTCTTGCGTTAATTCGGTATTGTGGAGCGCAGTATTTTAATGTCCTTGAGTTTGATTCATGATTTTGCTGTTGTTGTTACTTGTTTAGTGGTTGTCCTGGGTATGATCATTAAATGTAATTTCAATGGTATAATTGATATCTCTGTATTGGAGTCTCCATTTGGTGAAATACTATTCTCATATTTCCCTTTAGTTTTTTTAACTTGGTTACAGCCGTCGATTTAAAGTCTCTGTCTAGTAAGTCCAGCTTCGGGCTACTTCAGGGACAGTTTCTATTCACCGCTTTCTCTTTTTTCCTGCTCGTGGACCATACGTTCCTGTTTCTTTGGAAAACTGGACATTTAAAATATATACCACGTGGCTACTATGGAAATAAGATTTGCACACACACACACCCTTGTTGCTGAACGTTTATTGTTGCTACTTGTTTGTTTAGTGACTTTCTTGAACTAATTTTATAAAGTCTGTGGTCTCTGTCATGTGCAGCCAGTGAAGATACTTAGGGGTCAGCTAATAATTAGAGGAAGATTTCTTTAAGTGGTTTGATCAATAAATCTCCCTGCTTTTGCCAAGGAGCTCTGAAAAGCGTGGGCCGGGAGTATATTCAATGCTCAGCCGGGTAGCTGAGCACTTCATTTTAGCTTTCACTTCTTGCTCACACACAGCCTCAAGGTCAGCCAGAGGCGCGAGATTCGAGCCATCGCAGGTCTCTCCTGCGCATGCGTATAGCCCTGCACTTTTATGTGGGTTTCTAGATCCCCAAGAATATGTTGGAACTTTTCAAAGCCCTCTCTAAACATTTCATTACCCAGTTTTTTCCCTTGTTAATGTTTTGCTTTGTCTTTTGGGAGCTCCAACTGTTATCACCACGTCGGACAGCTGCTCCATTAAACAATTGCCATTAATAGTTTTTAACAAACAGCTCAGTGAAAAGGCTGTTTGTACAGAGCGGGCTCTGAGTCACGTCAAGTAAAGATAATGTTTGAGACAGGTCAAATTGTGACAGTTTTCTGGGGGTGGAACTTTTGGGGAGCTTCACACCCTTTCTTCTCTCTTGGGTGGCTGCTGGGGTGCGTGTTTGCACAATTACCATGCTGTTGGCTTTCAAGGCCGCTACAGGACTGCGGACAGTGGGATAAGACCAGGGAAAGTCAAAATGCTGCAATACTTACTGTTCTAAACACAAGTTAGCCATCTCTCTTGACACTCTTCAGGTTTCTTTCAAACCTATACCTAATTCCCAGAGTTCTGAAAATGTTGCTATTGATCATTTTTTGCCAGTATTCCTATTGTTTTTATGGAGGAGTGGATTTTTTTTGCACTGCAGAATTGTTCTCCCACGTGTCTGTATTTTAATCTAAATAAATTTATATATTCAAAGTTTTTCATCACATCATAAGTTGGGTTAAAAATATAACTAAAATAAGGGATATTGTCCATGTTGAGGTCCAAATAGTTGTTAGCCAAACCCAGAAGGGAGTTGCTTCAGAAATGCTTTTGTAGAAAAACCACTTAAAAGTATCATCTTAACTTTGTTAGGACACCAATGCCGATCCTCCAAAGATTTGAACGTCAGCAAACATTTCTGTATTTTCAGGAAACATTTATGCAGTGACCTACGCTAGCTGCAGTGGAAAGTCCAAAGATGTAATACACAGAGTCTGCTCTGAAAAGATTTAAGGATGTCACCTCCCCAGGGAGGGCCTCCCTGATCACCCACACAAAAGAAACCCCCTCTTTCCCATGACTAGAGTGGCCAGTCACCCCAGGTTGCCTGGAATTAAGGGGTTTCCTTGGACGCCGAGCTTTCTGTGCTGAAACTGGAACAGTGCTGGGCAAACTTGGAAAAAGTCAGACAGCCCATCACCATCCTCTCGGTTTTTGTGTTTCCATATGCTTTGCCACCATCCTATATAATTTAATTTGCCCGTTGGTTTTCTCACTTCCTCAAACTAAAATATAAACCCCTTACATGTAGGAACAGGATTTTGTCTGTGTGGGTCCCAGCCCCAGTTGGCAGGGAGTAGGACCTAAGTAGCTATTTGTCGAAAGATGAATTAATTGTTAATTAATCCATTGACTCATCTAAAAAAAAAAAACACCTCCCTTCTGTTCCCCAAGTTTAACAACACAAATGCATAAGGAACGCGGAGTTTTGTGGGACACCACAATGCACTGGAAAAAAGCATTTTGTATGATTTTAACGACTGAGCCGTAAGCGTTTGAACCCGTGTGGCCGTGAGAGCCTCAGGCAGCCGCGAGCTTTTGATCCCGAACAATATCTTGGGAATGGATTCACCGAAATGTTGGTATTTCTCCCATTTTCCCCGGATGGTTGGCTGTATCCAGCACAACCCAGTCTCAGCATCAGATTCGCGTCTGCGAAGGAAAATATCTTCTCTCTAAACTGCATTCGAAGGGCAGGGGAATCTCTACCCCCCCCCATAGAAACAGCAGCGCTCCTTGGAAGACCCATAATTACCTTAAATGCTCCACGTGGATATAAAAGCTACAGATGCGAACGCACCGTCGGAGGCCACGTCTTTGGGCTCCACCGCGAGCCAGATAAAGATGCTGCCCTTTTCCCCACTATCCGTTTCCTGTATAAATGAGAAGACATAAAACAGGTTCAGATTTAATTAAACTAATTGACCGCATTGCATTTTGTAGTTGTGATCGTCATTAACACCCTTGACCCCTCTGTCGCAGGGATGTGCCAGGGACTTTTTTTTTTTCTCCCGATGGATATTTATTATGAATATTACCATCAATAAGCGCCATCAACATATTAAAATTAATTTTCGCTTCTTTATGGGAGACGGAGAGGGCGACCAGCTGCTGAGAACCATCCGTTTAAATCATTTTTTTTTATCGATTCAGCACGGCTCAGCCTCAGGTCCAGCTAATAGGGGATTTTATGTGTGTGTAGGCGAGTTTCTGTATACATATAGAAAATAGTTAATTTTTATTTCACGTCGAACTCTGGTGACATTAATCGCAGGATCCCCGGGGCCCCAGCACTCGAGCGCCGGCCGCACAGTCCCCGCGCTGGCCTGTTTCATCCCCACGTGCACGTTGCCGCGACACAGGCACATTTATTTGGTCTTATTTTGACTGCTTGCAAAGGGCTTAATAAAAGACAGGCTTTAGGGCATGAAAAGAACGGAGCCCACAGGTGTTCTGAGCTGGCCTAACGTGTCTGGAAAACAAACAATTACGCCCTGGAATTTGAGACCCTAAATTGTATCAGTTGAGTGCAGGTCCTGGAGGGAGGAAAACACCTTTCATTGCATCGCCCCGGGGCGCAGGCCTGGGGCTGTGTAGGGTTACAGGGGAGCCTTTCCGGGCAGCTGGCTGGGAGGCTGCTGCTCCAGCCACAGAAACTGCCGGGGCCTCGGGGGGGACGTCTGGGGAGAGTGTCCCCACCTCCAGCTCCAGCTCCACGCACTTTCTGCAGCTCGGGGACTCTCCATCTCTTCCTATGTTTGCCACTCGGGGAGCATCCGCTGCAAGCCAGGTGCTGTGCTGGAGATTTTTAAAAAATTTTTTATGTGTTTTTATTGATTCCAGAGAGAGGAAGGGAGAGGGAGAGAGAGAGAGAAACATCAATAGTGAGAGAGTCATTGATCGGCTGCTCCCAGTGACGCTGCAAGGCTGTCACGGGCATGACCCCTCTGCCCGCATTCCCGNAGATTTTTAAAAAATTTTTTATGTGTTTTTATTGATTCCAGAGAGAGGAAGGGAGAGGGAGAGAGAGAGAGAAACATCAATAGTGAGAGAGTCATTGATCGGCTGCTCCCAGTGACGCTGCAAGGCTGTCACGGGCATGACACCCCAGGGCCCTCCCCTCTGCCTGCATTCCCCGGGCGACAGCAAGCGCCTCCCCTCCTCGGACACTTCCTTGGACTCGAAGGGCCATGAGGTCAGGGACACGGCTGTTTTGCTGATCCCAGGGCCCACCCAGCACACAGCAGGATCTCCATAAACACTGCAGAGCGAATGGACGGGCGCAGAGCTGGGCCCCTGGGACGGATGTGCGTTTTGGGGTGCTTCCCAGTGGGTTCATCAGCTTCCGGGCCAATCCCCCCATATCCAGATTAACACATTATGAAACAGAAGCCTTCGGGTGCCGGTGTAACGCTCTCTGTCTGAGCTTCCCCCTCACGTGGCCTCTCGGGTTTCCGTGGGTCGGAGCCGCCAGCTGGCCAGGATCCTAACGGTCACCTCTGAGCAGGTGGAAACCCGCACACTCCGATGCCTTATCCACAGAGCACCCCAGGCGGGGACAAGGGGCGGGGGGCACTATCTACCATCTTTGTCACGCAGGCCTTTTGCATCTTGATTTACCCCCTGGACCCGTTGAATTAATAAACCGAGTTGGCCGATTTCTGCTCTGAACTCTGAACTCTCCTCGGTCGAGGAGGCTCAGGAGGGGTTCAGTCACCAAAGTCCTAGCAGGTCCCTGCCCCTGCTCCTGGCCGTGGAGGAGTCGAGACCCGCCCATCGAGGGGCTCTGTAGGTTCGGCTGCACCACGCGTGTGGCCCGTCGCCAAAGAACATTCGAGGCGTTCAAATCCCCCCAGACCTAGCCCGAGCCACCTTCCCGTCTTATCTCCCAGCCCCGCCGAGTTCTCATGAGCTTCAGTATCTAGAACCAAATCTGATCTTATTTTTCCTGCCGTGTCCTGGGCCTGCTGGTGCGTTGGGCTGGTCCTGGGTCCAGCCGATCGGATGTTTCACACCCAGGGGGGCCCTTAGACACCGACTGGAATCGGAAGGGCTGGGGTGGGGCGACACCTGGCCATTTGAGGCCGTCGAGCCAGTCTTGTTACTGCCCCTCTTTGTGGAGGGGACCCGTGGGCCTTCCGAGTCTCCTTCGGGGAGAGATTTCTCCCTTATTTAGAAAAAAGGCCAGATGAGCCCAAAGCTATAAAGATTGAGAGACAGATCTGCCCTTGTTGGCCCTGGAAACATTCTCGCGATGCTTCCCCCGGGCCAACGTTCCCTGATATTCAGCCCCAGGAGGGCCCGGGAGTCTCCACACCACACGTCCAACGGCTAGAAAGTATTTATTGCTCTGTTGACTAGACCGGCCTAAGGCCAGAAGTGGGCCAGATGTGGAAAGAGGTCGGCTCAGGCCACCTTCAGATGACTGAGCGTCTGGGGTCCGGTTTGGGGCGCTTTGTCTAAAACAGTGACCCGTCCGGCCACCCTCTGCCCCTCCCCCGTCTCCAGAAACATCCAGAATGTTCCGGAACGTTCTCTGGGATGCCTGGAGGTCACTGAGACGTTCCACTCCTTGGTGTGGGCGGCCCGAGAGCGGTCGGTCAACATCAGCACGTACTTTGGACGGTGCCCAGATACCTCCTGTTTGCTCCGGTGACCTCAAGGTGAACTGGAGGTCACACTTCATGACGCTGGCGAGCCAGGAGTCAGCCAGGCACACGCCTTCTTCTTTCGCTCCGAGGTGCCGGGGAAACCCTCGGGGAGCTCACTGATTATCCTGGAGAGGTTTGTGGGAAGCCACTAGGTAAATAATGAGACTGTATTTTTAATTAATAGCACGACGGCTTCGAGCATCAACGACTCTGAAGCTTATCAGGGCATTGGGGTAGCAGCCACTAGAGGAGCCAGGGGGGCGAGGAAAGTTCTGTCCAACGGGCAAAAATACCCCAAGATTTTGACGGTCTCAAATCCAAAGCTTCTGGTGCGTTTAAAGGAAGTTTTTAATTTAGCAAATGCTCCGTTTGCCAAGGTGAATATTGGTCTTTATTACTCCAAATAAATCCAGAGGAAAAAAAAAAAATGGACATTTTGAGTTGGCATAATTGCAAACTTTCTGTAATCATGGGGACTTTATGGGAATAAGAATAATTAACACAGATTTCATAATGGGCCATTTCAGTTTTTCTTTCATTAAAGCTTCATAAAAATATAAGCTCATGAAAAAGGCAGTTCAATTAAAGTCTGAACTTTTCGTGATTTTTTAACACATTTTACCGATTTTTAATTGATGAAAGTGTTACGTGTTCTGCCAACCCAAGAATGTTTCACACTTTTTTTTTTTTAATTCGAACCAGCCTGATATNAAGTGTTACGTGTTCTGCCAACCCAAGAATGTTTCACACTTTTTTTTTTTAATTCAAACCAGCCTGATATTTTTTTCCCCCCCAATTCAAATAGACGGGTTATTATTTTGTATTAACTGGAAATCAAATAAAGTAACGGTAAGATTTATTAAGTAGATTACAATGCATACGTTATTTCCTAAGGAAATTTATTTTATACATCCAGAATACAGTCCGTGCATTTTTGGTTAACCCGAGCTAATCCTCGCAATTTTTTTTAATGAGGAGCCGTTCTACCAATGAGATTTTACAAGTGAGAAAACTGAAGCTTTAAAAAAATTGCACAGCTTGCCCGAGGTCATCCGGCGAGTAGACCCCTGACGCGGGCAACGGGGCATCTTGTAATATCTTTGCAGCCTTGAGACAGTCGCCTCCGGAGCAAGGGCTATATCCGTTCCTTCCTATTTGTTCGTTTGCGTATTTATATACGTATTTTTCCTTCTTTTTCCTGTTGCTGTGCTAGGTGCATATTAGTATCTCAATAAATACAGCTAACAGGTGGCTTGTATTCCGCTTTCTACTAAGCAGAGCTCTCTATACCCCACATGTCTAGGCACTGGTGGCCAAGAAGGTGTAATAATTACAATAAACAGTAATAATTACGGTGCCCCCTAAGGCGCCGCTGGACGGCGGATCCCCAGCTGCTGGCGGAAGGTCCTAGAGGTACCCCGGTGACGCCACATCCCCCGATTAAATGACTTTTCTCACCTTCTACCCAACATTTCTCGCCCCCCTGTCCAAGCTTCTCAGCTAGAAAAGCAGAATATTCTCTTCAAATCTTTTCTCTCGCCCGTGGGGTGCGAGTATCCCTTCCGCCTGCTAAGTATCTTTGCACCCCAGCCCCCCTTTACCCGCGCGGGGCCTGCGTTCTGATCCTGCTTTGCCCAGAGGGGCTAATAACCTGGCCACGGGGTCGCCGCGCCTCCAGTGTCCTCCCGGCTGCCCCCGGTTTCTTTCTGAAACAGAAACCAGGCACCTTTCAAAGGCTGCTGACCACTGCCCCTGCCCTGAAGCAGCGTCATGTCGGGGTGTCCCCCCCCCACGCAATCCATGGGGCCCTTTAAGAACTGGGGAAAGGGAAAGACACAGGCCTAGGGCGAGCTCTTGGAAATTTCTAGCACAGGGTAGTGTTTTAAAGGCTCTGAGAACTCCTGCAAGAAAGAAGTCTATGGAACCGCCGAACCCAGTGCTCCCCGCGTTTTATTGGGCCTTAAACTCCGTTTCCGCAGATAATGGCAATAAAAAAAAGTGTGTTACGTCGGATCCCGCGTTCTCCTGAGCTGTGCAGTTTATGAAAACAAAGAGAGGAGCCACTTACGTGAAATTAATAACCAGCTCACAAATCTGTTGCTAAGTATATTTTTGGACAGATCTATTTGTCTCCGCCGTCCTCTCTGTTAAATTAAAATTAAGACGCGCTCTTTAAAAAGCCCCCCTAAATCAGCAGAACGGCCTTCAGCGTTTCGTGCCTG